AGCTTAAATCTACAACCAAAAATAAGTGTTTAAATAAATCTACAGCTTAAATTCTACAACCAAAAACATAAATCTACAACCAAAATATAAATATTTAAATAAATCTACAGCTTAAATTCTACAACCAAAAAATAAATCTACACCTTAAATTCTACAACCAAAAATATAAATCTAAAACTCATTCCAGTCATCCCCTAGAACTTGGTTTTGTCTCCCTAAGATTTTCAATTTAAATATAAAATAATTGTTACTCATTTAATTTATACATTTTTAACATTATAAATAATAAATATTAATTCTCTTAAACCATAGACAAATCCCCAATTATTTCTTCGTTGTAGTCGAACTTTCTCTCTTCTTCCATGGTGAAATCCACCTTCCCTATCTTCTGGCTTCTTCTTCTCTCTTCCCTATCTTCGTTGTAGTCGAGCTTTCATGTGTAAAGCTTGTGACTTTGAAAGTGCTTGTGACATTCTGCTCCTATCCGAAAGCATCAATCTCGTTGTGCTTTCAGCTTCACTCCACTGTCTCCGTTACGTCAGAATAGCCCTTGCGGTTGCGGATCGAAGGAAGGCTGACCGAAGAGCAACAATGGCCAGTTTGGGTAATTTTGCAAGTTAGATACATTTGATTTAATCACAGATATGTCCTAGAAAATTATTTTCGTACATATTGTTCCTCGAATTAACTCCAAAATTTTCAATTTGTGAAATCTAGACCAGAGAGTATTCCTATTTTGCAGCCTTAGTCTCTGAATTTTCTATTGTTTTATTTTTTTTCTCCAATACTTCTAAATTCACATAAATATCATTATGATTTAGTCTTTAAATTGAACTTTTGAACATGTTATATACAACTGCAATATATAAAAAATCTCATAAATTAATGAGGATTAGTTTAAAGATTTTTATTATACTTGATAGTATATAAATTAGTATATGTGTCATAGTAGAGTAAATCCTATGTGGTCTAGTGACTTGTGTGTGTAGTTTTCTCTTGAATAACCTAAGTTTGAGTGAAGGAAAGAGTAGTTTCGATAAAAAAATTTGATCTGTGAGAGAAGATATTGTGCAAGATTTAGGGTAAATTTTGCATAAATTTAGGAAAGATATTAATCCAAATATTGAAGTTTCCATATTTTCGTGATTTGGTTATAATATTTATATTACATTGATTAGTACACTGCATAGTGGGTGATATATCTTTTATCCCCTTAGTGTATTATGTAGTAGCTAAAAGAGGTTATAACACAAATAATATAAGGTAAATCATAAAGTTATTTCTAGAGATAGCAATTATGGATTTGGATCGTGGACCTAGCCTGTAAAAGAATGTCGCGGGATGATATTAGAAAGAGGTTTTTTAGGTCCATAAATTTGCGAGCCTCATGGGACGGATCTTTGCGGGACTGAGCCTTTTGCGTGATGGGCCGAAACGGTTCATGCGGAATTACAAGGACTCGTATTTTTTTCTTCATTTCTTGTTTTACCTAGAAAAAAACGAGAAAATAGTGAAAATAAGATGATTCATGTGACTTCCTTCGAGTAAACGTAAGGAGCTCTAGCGATAAGGATTCGAGCTTCGGTGATGATGATTCGAACTCCGGCGATGAAGACTCCAGCTCTAACGATGACGATTCGAGCTTTGGTGGTCTTTTGATTTGGTTTTATCTTTTTATTTAATTTTGGATTGACAGCTTTGATTTGGTATTTGATCCAGCAAACTAAAACATTGGTTATAAACTTATGAGTTATAAGATAATGCAATATATGGTTATGAACTTATGAGTTATAAGATAAGACCATATATCTTCTGCAACTATCTTTACTTTGTATGTTAATATGTTTTGGGTGTGACAAAAATAACTATAACTCTTGTTTTGAACAAAAATACAAATCAATGATTGATGAAGTATGTCTAGTTGAATCAATGACTGGAATCATATCCCATAGTAGCCTGAAGCATTTTGGAGTGGCCTGAAGCGTTCTTCTGCGTGTAACACGTGTCCCGCGGGCCAACCAGCAAAGGCTTGTACATATAACAAGACGAGTTTGGGAAACCATTTCAAAGATCACAGTCTGCGTGGGCTTGACCCACTGTGACCCACTTAAAGAAAATTCCGCTGTGATCCAGAACAGAATGGGACGGGATAACCTGTTTGTCATCTCTAGATATTTCTATAATTTGTAGTCAAGTTTTAGGTAGACTAACGACATTTTCCCAGAATTAAACCGAACGAATTATAGCAAAGGTAAAGTATATAATTAATTTTGTTTGTCTTATACAACAACGATAGATTGTAGTATTTGATTTCTATACTAAGTAGATGGCAAAAATGAATATTCTATACTCAACGATGGTATAAAATAAAATATGATTTAACAACATATTATTCACTAACGTTTGTAGTAATTTCCATATTTTTTATATTTTGAAAATTTAATTTACTCTTTTCTTATTAGAAAAAGATAAAGTATATCTGAAATAACCAAAAGGATCATAAGTTCTAATTGAAGAAATAAAAGTTCAAAGCGTCCATTTTTCCAATTTACCCTCTTTCTTGCTGGAAAACCATTATTATATCAAAAAAATATGTCTTTATATCAACATAACACTTTTATTTGTCATCAGATCTATAATCTAGTACTTTTGGAATGACATGTTTCACAACTTCAGAGAATGCCTGCTTGGTCTTTGTTTGTGTTAATTTATTTAGTCAACTTTCATTGGCTTCTTAGTCTTTAAGTTATTGATCTTTCAGAAAGCTAAGCTTTTTTTAATTCGGAAATGTTAGGTAGAAATTGATTTAAGATTTTGCGTATATCAAAAGTTATAGTAGTTTTTTATTTCTCTAGCCGCAAGTTGTTGTCAGAAGAAAAGGTTTCTTCTAAGATTATGTTTTGTTACAAAATAATACCTTTCTTTGTAAAATCCCCTATATATTATTTGAGAATCATTTAAAAAGTTGCAACCTTAAGTTTGTAAGAATTAAAAATAACTCTAATCCTACATGGCATAACTCTTTGGTTTCTATTTCAAATCTCAAGGATTCTAGAGCATGTGATATAATGTATAGTTTAAAAATTATATTCTCTAGCAATATAATATTCCGTAGGCTATAGTTGGTCGCATATATCAAATATTTATTGTTTCGCATACTTTCCTTAAATAAAACCTACAGAATTACCTAATGTGATTAAAATATATATATGACAATTAATGATTTTAAACAATAAAGATTTGATAACAATATGTATACTTTTTTTTCATTTTGTTTATTTCTTTATTATTAAAATAAATTACACAATTAAATTAATTATATAATAAAAATCTATATTTTTTTTTGTGTATGTTGTATTTCGAATTTTTCAAAATGAATATAAATTACTAAAACTGTTAAAAGTCTCACATAAACTTTTAAGATTAAGGTTTTAATTTTTTTGTATACTAAAATATAATGAATATAAGACCATATGAAGAAATAATTTTAGTTTATATATTTTCCTATCATTTTAATTAAACTATACATCGTATGAAAATACATACTTACATTTTGATATTTTCCTTGAATATATATTGAAAAGCTAATATTTTAATTTTGGAATATGTCATTTGTTTTTTTTTAAATGATTATAAATTATTGAAACTACTAAACATCTCACATTAAAAAAAATTCATTGGTGTAAAGTTTTGTTACACAAGCAAATAATCATAAAATCATATGAGTAGAAACCTCATTTAATAAATATCTATATTAAAAGTGTGCTATATTACTATGTTTATATCATTTAAATTGAATTATATATCATATACAATATATAAGATTTATTATTTTGATTTATTTACCCTAATTTTGATAAACAAGAGTAATAGTTAAATTTATATGCATACGCCAATTTATTACATAATAGTAATTGATTTCTTAGTTCTTTAATATATATTTATTATTTTATTATTTATAATATGCAGAAAAATATAAAATAAACAATAAATATAAAATACTTATTGTGCATAAAGTGCAGATCTTAACCTAAATATGTATCTCTTTAATTATTTTAAATCTTAAGTATTTTCTAAATTTCATGTCAAAACAAACAAACGAAATGAGAATAAAATTCAAAATGAATATTTATATCGAGTAATAACCAAAATATAAAAAAAACATAGCAAGAGAAAAATGGAAGATAAATAGGATTGACACGTGAACGTAAACTTCTCATAACCATAATTAATTTTTAAATTGTTAAATCATGATATAAAACTGAGTTAATTTTTAATTTGTTAATTTTTCATTTTTTAATTTTTTAAATCATTATGGTTATGTTAAATCATGACCATAATTAATTTTAAATTGTTTATTTGTATTTGAAAAACTTAAAATATTGTTTTTAAAAATAATTTAAAATTTAACATAATTTTTTTAGAAAATTATTTTTAAAAATAATATTTTTTTAAAAATAGAATTTTCTAATATTATTAGACAAATAAATAAATTATATTAAATTAGTTTTGAAACTTTATATATTTTAAATGTAAATATTTTACCAATTGCTTCTTAAAAAACATTCGGAAACTTGCTAATACCCTACCAATCAAGTCCAGTAACACTCCATTTATTTTCCATCACTTGAATAGTGAAAAGTGAAAAGATATATGAAATAAGATCCATTAAATTCTAAGATTTGATCTACATTTCTAATTAAAATTGTATGTGATCATACGTATAGATAATTATATAAAAATTCCAAAATTATAAAATTTCAAATACATACAAAAACAATCATATGTAAATTTTAAATTTCTCAATACTAAAATTTTATATTTTAATTACATATATTCACCATGCGCAAGAACTTATCCTAGTTGCTTATTAGTTCTCAAAATTATAGTATTGGGTCCATTTTTCAACATTAAAGTTTTTTTTTTTTTTTTTGCTAAAAGCATTAAAGTTGTTGGTAGGATATGAAAACAGAAAAAGTAAGAGCGCACAAACAGAAACGCGGATATATCAAAACCTAGACGACGAGTCAAGTCAACAACATACATAATATGAATGTGATGAGATACCAAAATTTAATGGTAGGAGATGGCCTCTCGGATCATCATCTCTACCCTTTTGCTTGCAATGAACTGAGCTCCTTTATAGATCTGGGTTACTCTCGTTTACCCAAAGATGTCAAAGCCTTCATCTTCCGAGATTGTCTCACCGCTTTTCGTCTTCTTCCCGAGTAAGTTTTGTTTGATGATTTGGGTATGTTTATGAACAAAGTTTCATAATAGAGCAAGTAAATACTAAAGTTAGGAACTCTCAAACAACCAACCCTTAAGTAGAGGATTGAGTCAAATGGTGTAATTGGATCGCTGAGATTAGCTTAGATTCTTTGGTTCTTTGCATAAACAATTTGCAAAATAAAAGACATATTTTGTTCATAGGGGTTGGGTGTTTTGTCTTTCTTGAATAGAAATACAAATAATTTCTTTGCATTTTCTTGAGAAATAATATTTTTTGTTAAAGATGCTAAGTGTTCTGTTTTCTTGAATATAAACACTAGAGTTTGTTAATGTAAACGTAAAGGCAAGTTTTTAGCCTTTACGGTGAGTGATACTCATCAAGAGCACCTTATTCATATAGCACATATATGATATATCTTTGATTCTTAATTTACCTCGCAGTTTCATGATCTTTCATCTTTTCAAGCCTATCAAGACTAATACATCTGTATATTTTTTTTTCCATTTAGCATGAACACACCAGCTGCTATTTCAGCCGCTAACCTTCTCCTGAAGAGCGTGGAATCAGCATTCCCAAAACAGAAAAAGAACTTAGCCATTGTACAATTTAAGCAGGCAAAAGTAGCACTTAAGAGACGCACTAAGAGCCATGAGGAACATATAGGTATGTTTTTCTAGTTATCTTTCTTGGAATTTCCCCTTTAATAACCCGAAATAACCAACAGAAAGTTTGCTTAGTGGCTAAAGGGTCATAGGTTTGATTCTCGTTGAGAGGGGTTTGTCTACTAAAGAGAGTTAATTTAACATGGTCTGGATCTTTGCCGTAAGGGGATCGGTTCTTCAGATCTAGAACCTCTTAGTCATTTAAAAAAAAAAAAAAATACCTCAAGATAATCTCTCTCTTTTTTTCAGATACACCTTCACTTCCACAAGATATCCTTGTTCAGATCTTCAGTCTCATTAATGTATCATCCTTACTTTCCTCATCTCAAGTCTCTCGGTACTACTTCGTCATGTATATTTTTGCACATTGCAGAGTCTTTTGCTTGGTTTTATACTTTTCTGTTATGTTTGTAGCTCATGGAACCTAGCAACGTATGAAGGCTCTCTGTGGCGATCACTTTTTGACCTTCACTTCAATTGCAAAATCGAGATTCATATTCATCCCGGTTTTGACTGGAGAGAAGCTTTTAAGAACGAGTGCATTGGTACGGGCATGGTTTTATAATCTCTCTTTCCTAAACTGCTTTCTCTGTGTACAGTTTGTAACGTATGCATTTGCTTTGCGTAACCGTGCAGTGTATAATTCAGCAAAGATGTTAAGATCTGGTCGGGGATACTGCAGTAACTGTGACACCGTTGTTTGGCATGACAACTTTAAATGTCCGAAGAAACAATGTCAGTTTGAATCAGGCAAGGAGCTACTCGACCCCATGTTAACTCACCAGGTATAAGTTTATTCCTCCTTCAAGAAATGTTTCTCGTGGACTTTGTTATTTCTTTTTGTCGGTTTTTTCTTACTTGTAAGCCAAAAGTATCTATACGCTTATGGTTGTTTTGTTTCTTAACAGGTTGTTAACTATTTACTGGGGATAACTAGTTCGTCTGATGAAAGTGATTCGGTGGAAAGTGGTTCAGAGGAAAGTGGTTCGGTTGAAAGTGACTCGTTCGAAAGTGATACGGACGATGAGTCCGTTCCTGGACTATGGGCTCGTCCTACGAAACACACAGAAAGGTTTCATACTCTATAGTTTCCTAGCCTAACCCAATCATCGTTTCTGTGTGTAAACTTTCTTAGGACAAAAATCTATTATGGGACAAATGACCCAAAACTAATCTACAACAACCAAAAAAATCTATCATAGACCAAAGAGTGTAAAATGACCATTTTACCATTAATGAGAGTTCAATGTGAACCATTAGATCATATAATGCGAGATGTAATCTGAGCCGTCGGATGATAAGAGAAATCTGGGTACAACTAGTATAACTCGTATGACTAAATATGTTGAAAAATGATATAACTAGTATAACTGTTATATAAATGTTATAATTCGTGTATAATATGCAACTACTATAATTGAAACGACTAATAATCATGTTTTACATATAAAATAAACAAACATATATCCTAATTGGTATATGATGACAAAATTTCATCTATTTTATTTGAAGTTTTCAACTTTTTATTAAATTATTACATTATACTCTTAATTTTACATTATATATATATATATATATATATATATATTATATTTAAGGTTTGTTAAATAATTAGCTCTATTATTATGAAAATATTGGTACTTCTAAAATTAAACATATAAACAATTGATATAATTGTTATAATTTTAATTATATATTAGACGAGTATTATTGGTACAACTGGTACAATTTAGATATTTCAAAAATTGACAAAACCAATTTGGTATTCCATATGAGAACACTATTCAAATATCCAAAGTGGTATGTAGTCATAAATTTTTCTCCTAATATATTTGAAGTTTTGAAAAAAAAAATTGAAAGTTATTACACAACTCCATAAGTTTATATGATATACCTTATACTTTTAAGGTTTGTTTACTTTTTTGTCCACATATTTTTGGGAAAACATATATGAAATGCATTTTTAAAAAATCGATGATTTCATTGTATTGGGCGAAGGCATATATACACATAAAAATGTGGTACAACTGAGGTAAGTTTAAATGTCATGTGGTACAACTAGTTTTTTTATTTCACTGCCAAAGTACAACTATGTACAAACCGGTACAACTCAAAAACTAGTACAACTATTTTAAAACGGGTACAACTCACAAACTAGTACAACTATGTACAAACCGATACAACTCAAAAACTAGTATAACAATATATCTAGAAAATTATAATGACTTATAACATAATAAGTTATGGAGCTAGGACCCCCATTCGCCAGATAAGATTGGTAGCTATGGTCCCTCATAACACTGATTGCATAAAATATACAAGTAAATATACTAATTGTTATATAATGACAACATTTCATCTATTTTATCTAAAGTTTTTCAATTTTTTGTTAAATTATTATATTACATTCTTAGTTTACATTATATACTTTATGCTTAAGGCTTATTAACTACATTAGCCGTATTATTATGAAAACAAACATTAGACATATTCTTACAAAAACCATGTTGTAAAAATATTAGTACAACTAAAAAAACTAGACATATAAACAATATATATATTTTTAAAAATATATTAGATGAGTATTACTGATACTACTTGTATAACTTTGACATTTCAGAATTTGACAAAATCATTTTGGTATTCCATATGAGAAAACAATCAAATATACTAATTGTTATGTTCATAGAGTTTCTTTAATCTAATTTGAAGTTTTGTATAAATTGTTTTTATAAATTATTACAAAACTCCATAGTTTAGATAATCTACCTCATAATTTTAAGGTTTGTTAAATTGTTTGTCCACATAATTTTTAGAAAACATACATGAAATGAACTTTTACAAATTTAATGATTTCATTGTAACTGGGCAAAGGTATGTAAACATAAATAAGTGGTACAACTAAGATAAGTGCACTTATTATGTGGTACAACTAATATTTTTGATTTCACTATCAAAGTACAACTATGCACAAACTGGTACAGCTCAAAAACTAGTACAACTTTGTATAGTCAGGTACAACTAAAAAACTAATACAACTATTTGTTATTTTATTTAATATTGTTTTAAATGTGGATCATGTTTTAAATGTGTATCATGTTTTAACAATTTTGGTTGAACACTAATGCCAAGTAGTTGTACTAGTTGTGTCAAAAGGAACATAAGTTTTGATAGTTTCAAAAGTTATAAAAACAAGTTTAACATCACAAGAAACATAAGTTTTAATACCAAAAGGAAAATAAATTATATAAAGAACATAAGTTTTCAAAAGTAACCCCAAAAGCTATATATTTGAAGCGAAAGGAGACCTTAGTTGTCACTGATGCTCCTTCCTCATTCTTCTTTCCGGTGACTCGCACTTCAGAAGAATTTTCTGATTCCGCATCAAATTTTTCGGCCTTGAAAGCAAAAAGATGAAGCTGGTTTTTTTTCCTGAAAATAGTATAACTACTATAACTAGTAAAATTTTTAAATAAACCATTATATAAATAAAATATTATTAAAAGTATAGAATTCATGTATTTGACATATGCATGAGAAGGAAGATTAGACCAACATGTCTATCGGTTCTACATCATACTCTTCTATACCATCTTCATACGTTGAAAACAAAATAAAAATCACCATATCAATTGAAAAGTTGTATTAGTTATCTGTGTTTTACTTGTATCCGTTATATTGGTTATACTCAATTTACATTAACTCATTTAATAATTGTTGTAAAATATAAATTATTTGCATCAACGCAATATTTTTTTTTGTGACTCGCATTATAACTCTGTAAGTAATCTTGCAAAATAAGGCGATACAACTCGTAAAATTTTATATAACATAACAATCATGTTTCTGTGTTGTAATATTGGTACTACTGGTATAACTAAGAATCGTAATACTAGTAAAACAAGTCAAACTACGTTATAAATACCAGAAATAACATACTAGTACAACTAGTGAAACTATGTAGATTCTGAAATTTTAATATTTTATAATCACCAAACATGAATGATTATGGGTCATTTCCAAACTCGTGATGTCCTATGCATCATCTTTTGTAGTATACTCTTCTAAATCCGTTTCTCTTTGAGTATTTTTGAGCTTCGCAACTGCATTCTTCGGATTTAATAGCAAAAAAATATGAAAATGATTTTTTTGGAAAATAGTACAACTAGTACTACTAGTACAACTATATCTACTAGTACAACAAGTAAAACAAATCATTATCTAAATGAAACATTATAAAAATAAACTACTAAATATTTTTTTACGAATCCATGCGGGAAGATTAAACCATCATACTCATTAGTTTCACATCATCTTCTTTTCTAGCAATATTTATATGCTAAAAAAATCAAATTTCACCATATTAATTGTAAAGTTATACTAGTTATACACATTCTAATTGTAGTAGTTAGACATGTTAACTCAATCTATTTTACAGGACCTCTTAGGAAAGCTATTGTCGTTACTTGTTTACATTATATATCATTTGGTGCATCACCTGCAATACAATATTTTGCTCAATCTCTTATCTTGTTTTCATGTTTATATCAAGAAAATATATCTTGGGAAAAGAAGCCTACCATCCAATGTTAAAACAACATATTTCAAAGGTTGGTACAATTAAACTAGTACTAATACTATTATTGCAGTTAAACTAGTTGTATTAGTCAGACTATTATTGTCGTAATCGAAACACCAAACATGCTTATATAACATTTTGAACTCTTGATGGTTTTTGTGGCATCTTTTTGCTTATATTTTAACATATTTTGACAAATTCATGCATGGGAAGATTAGACCATCCTTTTCATTAGTTCTACATTTTCCTCGTCTATAACATCATTCACTAAAAACAAAAACCTTAATATAACCATATTAATTATAAAGTTGTACTAGTTATAATTGTTCTAATTGTACTAGTTATACTCGTTGTAGTTGTACTAGTTATACTAATTTCAGTTGTACTATTTTTACCAGTAATACTTTGTGTTCTTCATTGTCGAAAATTTTGTATATTAAAAGTGAGATTCGATTTAATATGAGAGAAAATAGATTGAGAATGATGAAGAACTGGTTGATTTGGGATAAGAACGAAAATTCGTTAAGTTTGAAGATTTTTCTTTAAAATTTTAATTCTGATTATGGAATGGAAAATTTTGGTCCAAAAATTTGTTAAAATGGAGAATTTAAAATCTGAATTCTTAAGTTTGTGAATCAGAAATGAAAATTGAATAATATGGAGGAGACTAAATGAATGATACTTAAGTTTTAGTTTGACTTTGATTTTTAAAAAGTGATGATGAAAAATGGAGATGAAGAACGTCAAAATAACGTTGGAGAAGAAGAAGAGATTTGGGAATTTAGGTATTTAGAATGGTTGGGTCGGGTTATTGGGTTTGGATAAAAGTGGTAGGATTGGTAAATAAATAGATTTTGCTGGATTTTAAGGATTTTTAGTGCATTTTTCTATTTAAAATTAATTCAAAAAAAAATTAAAATAGATAGTGGTCTATTTTAGATTTTTTGTCGGCCATTTGGTCTATATGAGCATTTGATTCACTTTCTTACTTGTATCCACATTCGTACTCAGTGTTGGTATCTCAGTACAGATGAAAAAAACAGCAAACGTCTCTTGCTTCGGCTTGTTGGCTCCGTAGTTAAGCTTGTTGGGCTCATGGACCCATCTGTTAATGTGCATATTTTTGGTTGAATCTATATATAAATGAAGTTGAATGATTGATTTTCCAATGTCGCCACTTCCGTATAACTTGCACCAAAATAAGATGTGTCAGAAGTTTTGCAAGCAAAGTTTTTTTTTCAACGCTGAATATTACTCATTCATATATAATTTGGACAAGCCATACAACCAAGAAAGTATATATTGCAAGGAAGTAGAAGACTCAAAACAGCAAAATAAGATGAAAGAAAAACGAGAAGATACAAAGATCAAATGGACATTCTGATACAAACGTAAGTGCAACAACGAATGGAACAGAGTCTACGACAGAGTGTGTGTATGCAGATGAACAAGAGAAAGACCTGAAGAATGGCTTGGTGATCAAGTTGGAGTTAGCATAAACGAAGACTTGAAGAACAAGCACAAAGAGATTCATCTTGGAGAAAGAAGATCTCGTAAATGGAAAGTTTGCAAAAGACTTAGTATGAGTTTTGGGAACTTACCATATTTGGTTATTTAGCAAATATTGGATAGATAGGCTAGGGTAGCCGACTTGACTATAATGTATATATAGTCCTGACGACCTAGGTATTAGAGTTGTCACTAGAGTTGTATTCTTATCATAAGAGTGGAT